TGAAAGGCGTTGGTTGCTGATGACAGCAGGACGGTGGCCATGGAAGTCGGAATCCGCTAAGGGTGTTGTAACAACTCACCTGCCGAAGCAACTAGCTCTGAAAATGGATGGCGCTGGAGCGTCGTGCCTATACTCGGCCGTCGGCGGCATAGTGGGGCCGGCCGTCGCTCGCGGCGGTCGGTCCCGGCAAGCCCCGACGAGTAGGGTGGCGCGGCGGTGTGCGTCGAAGGGCAGGTCGCGAGACCGCCTGGAGCCGCCGTCGGTGCAGATCTTGGTGGTAGTAGCAAATACTCGAGAGGGGCCCTCGGGGGCTGCCGTGGAGAGGGTTTTTGTGAACAGCCGTTGTCCAAGAGTCAGTCGATCCTAAGCCCGGGGAGAGATCCTCGTACCACGGGCGAAGGCGTTTTCGAATCGCCCTTGGGGCGAGAGGGAATCCGGTCCGTATTCCGGAACCCGACGCGGAACCGCTCCCTAGTGTTCGGGGCTCTTTTGTCTCGTCCGGGCAACCGGAATGAACTCGAAGAAGCCGTCGGGGGATCTGGGGTGAGTTCTCTTTTCTCTGTGAGCGTTGTACGTCCCTGGAATCCTCTAGCCGGGCGATAGGGACGCGAGCGCGAAGAGCACCGCTCGTTGCGGCGGTGTCCGTGATCCCCACGCGGACCTTGAAAATTCGAGAGAGGGCCACGCGGAGTCTTCGCGTCGGTTCGTACCGATATCCGCAGCAGGTCTCCGAGGTGAGCAGCCTCTAGCCGCATAGAATAATGTAGGTAAGGGAAGTCGGCAAAACCGATCCGTAACTTCGGGATAAGGATTGGCTCTGAGGAGCGTGGCGTGTCGGGTTCGTGTCGTCGTAGAAGCGTAGGCGGTTTTGGCGACACCCCGGCCGTCGCTTGTGTGCCCGGTCTCCGGACCGGGAACCTCGAGGCGGCCGCGGGCCCGTCGCCGTCCGCCGACCGTGGAACCACCGAGCTTCGGTCGCTGGCCGCGGCGCGGCCGGCCGTCCGCTTGGTGTCGGTTCGCCGTCGCCAGGCGGTCCGGCCGCCGCGCCGTCGGTCGCGTAGCCGGATCGACCGCCATGTAACGGTCAACTCAGAACTGGCACGGACCAGGGGAATCCGACTGTCTAATTAAAACAAAGCATCGCGATGGCCCGGGATGGGTGTTGACGCGATGTGATTTCTGCCCAGTGCTCTGAATGTCAACGTGAAGAAATTCAAGCAAGCGTGGGTAAACGGCAGGAGTAACTATGACTCTTTTAAGGTAGCCAAATGCCTCGTCATCTCATTAGTGACGCGCATGAATGGATGAACGAGATTCTCACTGTCCCTATCTACTATCTAGCGAAACCACAGCCAAGGGAACGGGCTTGGAAAAATCAGCGGGGAAAGAGAAACTGTGTGAGCTTGACTCTAATGGCATTGTTCGGAGACATGCCGAGGTGTAGAATAAGGGGTAGACCCGGACCAAGGCGGGCGCGTTTCGGCCGTCAGTCTCCGGGCCGACCTTGAAATACCACTACTCGCATCGTTTCCCACTTACGGGGTAGAGCGGGAACGCGCGGTCCGGACGCGGGTGCGTTCGTCCTTCGGGTCGTCGTCCGTCGCGTCGTCGGTCTGCCGTCGGTTCGCCGGCGCGCTGCCGGCGCGCGGCGCGGTCGCCGTTCCGTCGGACTGTGCCCGTTTGTGCCGGGCCGTGGTTGATATTCGGTAGGTTAAGCACCAGCCGGGATCCGGGCCGGCCGAGCGTACGGTTTCGTGCACACGCGGCCGCGGCGACGACGGAGGGGCCGCGTGCCGGTCGGACCGCGGCGCCGTGCCCGTGAAACTGTTGAGTGCATCGACGGGGGATAATCTCTTCCTAGTCGGCGTCGGACGGGCGCCCCAGCCGTGCGAGTCGTAGGCACCCGGTCCGGGTCGGGTATCTAGCGAAACCACAGCCGAGCGTACGGTTTCGTGCACACGCGGCCGCGGCGACGACGGAGGGGCCGCGTGCCGGTCGGACCGCGGCGCCGTGCCCGTGAAACTGTGCCGTGCATCGACCGGGGATAATCTCTTCCTAGTCGGGGTCGGACGGGCGCCCCAGCCGTGCGAGTCGTAGCCACTCGGGCCGGGTCGGGTATCTAGCGAAACCACAGCCGCGCGTACGGTTTCGTGCACACGCGGCCGCGGCGACGACGGAGGGGCCGCGTGCCGGTCGGACCGGGGGACCGCCGTGGCCCGTGAAACGTGCCGTGCATCGACCGGGGATAATCTCTTACTAGTCGGCGTCGGACGGGCGCCCCAGCCGTGCGAGTCGTAGGCCCGGGCCGGGTCGGGTATCTAGCGAAACCACAGCCGAGCGTACGGTTTCGTGCACACGGGCGCGGCGACGACGGAGGGGCGCGTGCGGTCGGACCGCGGCGCCGTGCCCGTGAAACTGTGCCGTGCATCGACCGGGGATAATTCTTCCTAGTCGGCGTCGGACGGGCCCCAAGCCGTGCGAGTCGTAGCCACTCGGTCCGGGTCGGGTATCAGCGAAACCACGGCCGAGCGTACGGTTTCGTGCACACGCGGCCGCGGCGACGACGGAGGGGCCGCGTGCCGGTCGGAACGCGGCGCCGTGCCCGTGAAACTGTGCCGTGCATCGACAGGGGATAATCTCTTCTAGTCGGCGTCGGACGGGCGCCCCAGCCGTGCGAGTCGTAGGCACCCGGGCCGGGTCGGGATCCAGCGAAACCACGGCCGAGCGTACGGTTTCGTGCACACGCGGCCGCGGCGACGACGGAGGGGCCGCGTGCCGGTCGGACCGCGGCGCCGTGCCCGTGAAACTGTGCCGTGCATCGACCGGGGATAATCTCTTCCTAGTCGGCGTCGGACGGGCGCCCCAGCCGTGCGAGTCGTAGGCACCCGGGCCGGGTCGGGTATCTAGCGAAACCACAGCCGAGCGTACGGTTTCGTGCACACGCGGCCGCGGCGACGACGGAGGGGCCGCGTGCCGGTCGGACCGCGGCGCCGTGCCCGTGAAACTGGGCCGTGCATCGACCGGGGATAATCTCTTCCTAGTCGGCGTCGGACGGGCGCCCCAGCCGTGCGAGTCGTAGCCACTCGGTCCGGGTCGGGTATCCAGCGAAACCACGGCCGAGCGTACGGTTTCGTGCACACGCGGCCGCGGCGACGACGGAGGGGCCGCGTGCCGGTCGGACCGCGGCGCCGTGCCCGTGAAACTGTGCCGTGCATCGACCGGGGATAATAGGTCGGACGGGCGCCCCAGCCGTGCGAGTCGTAGGGCACCCGGGCCGGGTCGGGTATCTAGCGAAACCACAGCCGAGCGTACGGTTTCGTGCACACGGGCCGCGGCGACGACGGAGGGGCCGCGTGCCGGTCGGACCGCGGCGCCGTGCCCCTGAAACTGTGCCGTGCATCGACCGGGGATAATCTCTTCCTAGTCGGCGTCGGACGGGCGCCCCAGCCGTGCGAGTCGTAGCCACTCGGTCCGGGTCGGGTATCCAGCGAAACCACAGCCGAGCGTACGGTTTCGTGCACACGCGGCCGCGGCGACGACGGAGGGGCCGCGTGCCGGTCGGACCGCGGCGCCGTGCCCGTGAAACTGTGCCGTGCATCGACCGGGGATAATCTCTTCCTAGTCGGCGTCGGACGGGCGCCCCAGCCGTGCGAGTCGTAGGCACCCGGGCCGGGTCGGGTATCTAGCGAAACCACAGCCGAGCGTACGGTTTCGTGCACACGCGGCCGCGGCGACGACGGAGGGGCCGCGTGCCGGTCGGACCGCGGCGCCGTGCCCGTGAAACGGTGCCGTGCATCGACCGGGGATAATCTCTTCCTAGTCGGCGTCGGACGGGCGCCCCAGCCGTGCGAGTCGTAGGCACTCGGTCCGGGTCGGGTATCCAGCGAAACCACGGCCGAGCGTACGGTTTCGTGCACACGCGGCCGCGGCGACGACGGAGGGGCCGCGTGCCGGTCGGACCGCGGCGCCGTGCCCGTGAAACTGTGCCGTGCATCGACCGGGGATAATCTCTTCCTAGTCGGCGTCGGACGGGCGCCCCAGCCGTGCGAGTCGTAGCCACTCGGTCCGGGTCGGGTATCCAGCGAAACCACGGCCGAGCGTACGGTTTCGTGCACACGCGGCCGCGGCGACGAACGGAGGGGCCGCGTGCCGGTCGGACCGCGGCGCCGTGCCCGTGAAACTGTGCCGTGCATCGACCGGGGATAATCTCTTCCTAGTCGGCGTCGGACGGGCGCGCCCCAGCCGTGCGAGTCGTAGCCACCGGTCCGGGTCGGGTATCCAGCGAAACCACGGCCGAGCGTACGGTTTCGTGCACACGCGGCCCGCGGCGACGACGGAGGGCCGCGTGCCGGTCGGACCGCGGCGCCGTGCCCGTGAAACTGTGCCGTGCATCGACCGGGGATAATCTCTTCCTAGTCGGCGTCGGACGGGCGCCCCAGCCGTGCGAGTCGTAGGCACCCGGGCCGGGTCGGGTATCTAGCGAAACCACAGCCGAGCGTACGGTTTCGTGCACACGCGGCCGCGGCGACGACGGAGGGGCGCGTGCCGGTCGGACCGCGGCGCCGTGCCCGTGAAACTGTGCCGTGCATCGACGGGGATAATCTCTTCCTAGTCGGCGTCGGACGGGCGCCCCAGCCGTGCGAGTCGTAGCCACTCGGTCCGGGGCGGGTATCCAGCGAAACCACGGCCGAGCTTACGGTTCGTGCACACGCGGCCGCGGCGACGACGGAGGGGCCGCGTGCCGGTCGGACCGCGGCCCGGTGCCCGTGAAACTGTGCCGTGCATCGACCGGGGATAATCTTCCTATCGGCGTCGGACGGGCGCCCCAGCCGTGCGAGTCGTAGGCACCCGGGCCGGGTCGGGTATCTAGCGAAACCACAGCCGAGCGTACGGTTTCGTGCACACGCGGCCGCGGCGACGACGGAGGGGCCGCGTGCCGGTCGGACCGCGGCGCCGTGCCCGTGAAACTGTGCCGTGCATCGACCGGGGATAATCCTTTCCTAGTCGGCGTCGGACGGGCGCCCCAGCCGTGCGAGTCGTAGCCACTCGGTCCGGTCGGGTATCAGCGAAACCACGGCCGAGCGTACGTTTCGTGCACACGCGGCCGCGGCGACGACGGAGGGGCCGCGTGCCGGTCGGACCGCGGCGCCGTGCCCGTGAAACTGTGCCGTGCATCGACCGGGGATAATCTCTCCTATCGGCGTCGGACGGCCGCCCCAGCCGTGCGAGTCGTAGGCACCCGGGCCGGGTCGGGTATCTAGCGAAACCACAGCCGAGCGTACGGTTTCGTGCACACGCGGCCGCGGCGACGACGAGGGGCCCCGCGTGACGGTCGGACCGCGGCGCCGTGCCCGTGAAACTGTGCCGTGCATCGACCGGGGATAATCTCTTCCTAGTCGGCGTCGGACGGGCGCCCCAGCCGTGCGAGTCGTAGCCACTCGGTCCGGGTCGGGTATCCAGCGAAACCACGGCCGAGCGTACGGTTTCGTGCACACGCGGCCGCGGCGACGACGGAGGGGCCGCGTGCCGGTCGGACCGCGGCGCCGTGCCCGTGAAACTGTGCCGTGCATCGACCGGGGATAATCTCTTCCTCGTCGGCGTCGGACGGGCGCCCAGGGTGTCGGTCCACGGGCTTCCCGGTCGGGCCGTAATAGTTACCGTACGTCCCGCGACCGGCGGTTGGCTGGATCGTCGTGTGCGAAAATCCGATTTTTTTTTTCACTCGGCGTTCACCGTTGATCGGCGGTACCGGGGCGGTGTACATGCCGGCAGGCCCGGCGACGTCCGCCGACACGATTTCGTATTCAACTTTTTCGTTTGCTTTTTTTTCGTTTGCAATTACTCGGTAACGGTTAGACTTATCACGACGACCCCCGGATGCGATCACGTCGTACGTTCCGAGTTCTATCGGGTACCGGCGTCCGTAACCTTTTAACCGGATTATTCGATATTCGAGGCCGTACCGCTACGCACGGATTTTCGATTCTCGCCGAACCGCTACGCACGGTGATGGACGTTTTTTGATTTTCGCCGTACCGCTACGCGCGGCGACGGCCATATCCTTTGGGTCGGGTGTACCACTACGCGCCCATACCCCCGTCGCATGTTGTGAAACTCGAGATTTTGTAAATTTGTGAGCGGCTTGGTCGTCGGCGTTGAAGCCGGCGCCCGACGTCCGCTCGCATACGACAGCAACGCCACGGGCGACGCCGAAGCCGACGCGTCCATCGCCGGGCACCGGTCTCTGCCAGTCTTCGGAATGGTCAGCAACCCGAGTGCCCGTCGACGGTATCCGTCCAAGTTTCGGCGACCGACCCATCTCGCACGCCGAGTGGCAAAACTCAACCGGCGTCGCAGGTCCTCCTACCGGTGGGCCTCCGACGCGCAAATCATTTTCTCTCGAAAAATTGATGACGACTCCCGCTACCGTTTCGCAAGTTACGAGCTCTCGACGCCAGAACATTCCCGCCGCGGCCGGCCATCGTCGCCGTGCCCGGCGGCCGCCGGGTCGAAGCCCCGGGACGACGGACTTCGCGTCTCGTCCCGGCTTCACCCACGATCTCGGCTGGGGGCCGTTACAAACCTGGCGAGAGGCGCTAGCGCGGTAATTCTCCGTCCTTCCCAAACGGACGGCGTACGCGCTAAACCCGACTCTCGTCAACGCACGGGTCACGTCGCGTCGGGCGCGCTCCCCGCCGCTCGTTCACGCGACCGCCGAAACACAGCCGTCCCCGCGTTCTGCGGGTGTCCGGTGCTCGGCGCTCGCGTCGACCGAAGCGCGGGTCAAGGGCGCCCGTCCGCGCTCGTAATCCACACGAACCGCGGTCGGTCGTTCGCCGTGACACGTCACGGTCGTTCGACCTTCCTCGGCGTCGGCTCGCCCACGGGCGGACCGGCGCTCGGACGCACGCGTCCCGAGGCGGGTGGGCGGTCCGCGTCTTCGCGGATCGCCGCCCCGTCACGGGCCGCAGTTGTTGTAAAACCGAGATCCCTGGTTGATCCTGCCAGTAGTCATATGCTTGTCTCAAAGATTAAGCCATGCATGTCTCAGTGCAAGCCGCATTAAGGTGAAACCGCGAAAGGCTCATTAAATCAGTTGTGGTTCCTTAGATCGTACCCAAGTTACTTGGATAACTGTGGTAATTCTAGAGCTAATACATGCCGACAGAGTTCCGACCGTCGCGGCACCCTCGGGCGTCGCGTGCGGGAGGAACGCTTTTATTAGATCAAAACCGGCCCGTCGCGGCGCGCTTCGTGCGCGTCCCGATCGCGGCCCGCGCAAAGACCTGGTGACTCTGAATAACTTCGAGCTGATCGCACGGTCTCCGTACCGGCGACGCATCTTTCAAATGTCTGCCTTATCAACTGTCGACGGTAGGTTCCATGCCTACCGTGGTTGTAACGGGTAACGGGGAATCAGGGTTCGATTCCGGAGAGGGAGCCTGAGAAACGGCTACCACATCCAAGGAAGGCAGCAGGCGCGCAAATTACCCACTCCCGGAACGGGGAGGTAGTGACGAAAAATAACGATACGGGACTCATCCGAGGCCCCGTAATCGGAATGAGAACACTTTAAAACCTTTAAACGAGGATCAATTGGAGGGCAAGTCTGGTGCCAGCAGCCGCGGTAATTCCAGCTCCAATAGCGTATATTAAAGTTGTTGCGGTTAAAAAGCTCGTAGTCGGATCTGTGTCTGGGCGGTGCCGGACCACCCTGGCGGTCCGTCGTGCCGCGGCCGGCCGTTTCGCGGGACCACGTGTCCCGTGGCGCGGTCGTCGTCGCGCTCGTCAGCCGTCTCGGGGTGTTAGTTACCGGCACGTCGGCCGGACGTATTGTCGGCAGGCGGACACGTGTCTCGTGCTTCCGGCGCGCCGCGCGGCCACGCGTCGCGCGGCCGTCGGGGTTCGACGACGGCGGCCGCCTACTCCAATCTTGCTGCGCGGTGCTCTTCACCGAGTGCCGTCGGCGGGCCGACACGTTTACTTTGAACAAATTAGAGTGCTCAAAGCAGGCTCAAATCTGGCGGGGCGGCTTCACGGCCGTCTCGTCAAAAGGCCCTGAATACTGGTCGCATGGAATAATGGAACAAGACCTCGGTCCCGCGCATCTCCGCCCTTCGCGGGCGCGCGAAATCGCCCTCCGGGGCGTTTCCGTGCGCGGGCCGCCGGGCCGCGGGCGCCAGTCGCCCGCGCGTCCCGCCGGGCCGGTTTTCGGGACCGGAGGTAATGATCAACAGAGACGGGCGGGGGCATTCGTACCGAGACGTTAGAGGTGAAATTCTTGGATCGTCTCGAGACGAACTGACGCGAAAGCATTTGCCAAGTACGTTCTCGTATGATCAAGAACGAAAGTTAGAGGTTCGAAGGCGATCAGATACCGCCCTAGTTCTAACTGTAAACGATGCCAGCTAGCGATCCGCCGAAGTTTCATTAACGACTCGGCGGGCAGCTTCCGGGAAACCGAAGCTTTTCGGTTCCGGGGGAAGTATGATTGCAAAGTTGAAACTTAAAGGAATTGACGGAAGGGCACCACCAGGAGTGGAGCCTGCGGCTTAATTTGACTCAACACGGGAAACCTCACCAGGCCCGGACACCGGAAAGATTGACAGATTGAGAGCTCTTTCTTGATTCGGTGGGTGGTGGTGCATGGCCGTTCTTAGTTGGTGGAGCGATCTGTCTGGTTAATTCCGATAACGAACGAGACTCTGTCCTGCTAACTAGGCGGGTAAACCCGGGTCGGCGTGGGCGCGGCGCTGGCGGTTTCGGCCGTCAGTGTTCGCGTTCCCGTCGGCTCGGCCCGGTATCCCCGAACGCGTTCGCCCGTCGTCCACGGCGGTCGTCGTGCGCGGCCGCGCCATCCGCGTCCCGGCGTTCGGCGGGCGTATGTCGGCCGGGGGGCAACCTCTGGTCGGCCTGCGTCCGTCTGGCGTCGGGCTCCGTGGTGAAGCGCGCCGCGTACGCGGCTGTCGCCGGCGGATCACGATACGTTACTAGGGCTACCGCCGGCTCCCAGGAGCTTAAACTCTTCTTAGAGGGACAGGCGGCGGACGAAAATAGCCGCACGAGACTGAGCGATAACAGGTCTGTGATGCCCTTAGATGTTCTGGGCCGCACGCGCGCTACACTGAAGGAATCAACGTGTGTTAACATTCCTGGGCCGACAGGCTTCCGGGTAACCCGCTGAACCTCCTTCGTGCTTAGGGATCGTGGCTTGCAATTTTTCCACGTGAACGAGGAATTCCCAGTAAGCGCGAGTCATCAGCTCGCGTTGATTACGTCCCTGCCCTTTGTACACACCGCCCGTCGCTACTACCGATTGAACGGTCGCAGTGAGGTCTTCGGAGTGGACGCGCGTTATTCGGCCCCCTCGGGGGCTGGGTCGTCGCGCGATCGCGAAGATGACCGAACTCGGCCGTTTAGAGGAAGTAAAAGTCGTAACAAGGTTTCCGTAGGTGAACCTGCGGAAGGATCATTAGAGACGGGCCCGCGGTACCGGCATCACTTGCCGGTCTCGCGCGCGCCTCATCCGACCCCGTGGCCGCGTGCGCTCGCGACCAGCTCGCCGACCGCCCGCGCGCCGCGACCCCCGACCGAGCGTCGACCGAAAGATGGTTAACGTCGAAAGACCGTACGGCCCAGCCGTGCGTCCGCGCACGGCGAGCGGCCGTAGAAGTTTCGTCGAAAAAAAAAAAAACACGTCACACAGAGCGGCGGATCACTTGGCTCGTGGATCGATGAAGACCGCAGCTATCTGCGCGTCGTCGTGTAATCCGCAGGTTATACGAACATCGACCAGTCGAACGCACATTGCGGCCTCGGTGACCCGCGGGTCCCGGGCCACGCCTGTCTGAGGGTCGTATACCGGATACTCGGCCAGACCGATGCGCCGCCGGCAGGCGTCCGACGGCGGCGGGCAGTCCTCCCGGGGACCGTCCGCCCGCCCGTCGGCCGCTCCGGTGGTGCGAGATTGGCGGTTCGACCGGGGAAAGCCGCGCTCGCGCGGCCGCCTCCGGTCGTCCGCCCAAGTTGTGACGGCAAACAGTCACGGGTTCTCGCGTCGTCAAACGGCACGTCCCCGTCCGCCCGCAGCGCGAGAGCGCTGCCGGGTCGGCTGAGAGTCCACGAGACCTCTCCGGCTTCCGAGAAGCGGACGCGGACGGTCGCCGTACGGGCGGAGCGCGGACCGCAGGCTGCCGTGTAATGCAAAAAACAAACAACCGATACGTTCCGACCTCAGATCAGGCGGGACTACCCGCCGGATTTAAGCATATTAATAAGCGGAGGAAAAGAAAACAACCGTGATTCCCTTAGTAGCGGCGAGCGAACAGGGAAAAGCCCATCGCCGAATCTCGCCGCGCACTTTGGTGTCGCGGCACGTATGAGAGTTGTGGCGTACGGGCCGGCCCGTGGTCGGGGCGCACGTGACGGTCCAAGTCTCCCTTGAAAGGGGCCATGGCCCGCAGATGGTGCCAGGCCAGTAGAGGCCGTCACAGCGTTCCGAGACCGGACCGCGCCTTCGAGTCGGGTTGCTTGAGAGTGCAGCCCGAAGCGGGTGGTAAACTCCATCTAA